CGGCTTGTAATTGGCCCCCGTTGACGAACAAGCATCGGCATCAGGCCGTGAGAGGGAAGTCGAAAGGACAGGGACCCTTTTAATGAAGCCAATGAGAAGGACACGGAACGCCCGCAGGCTTCAGGAAGGATTAAATCGGGCTCGGGCTGAATTTTTGCCTCAACGCTTCCACGAGTCACCCTAACGCGACGGAAAAGGACAAAGAAGATGTTGACAGTCAGGAAAGACGGAGAGAGGCTCCATCTTTTACAGTCGTGTAGATTTTCTATGTCTTCTTTCCCGTGTAGTAATAAACAGGAGGACATTTGGAAAAGGTCAGCATCCCCGAGGCCCTCTCATACATTTCCCTGCTGATTGAAGACAGTCAGTCAATATGTTTGCCTGCCTGCTTCTCCATCTTTTTGTATTTGTCAAATTTCGCGAGCGAGCTGGAACAAATAAATCTTTTTACATGCGCGTTTCCGCGCATAGCTCTAGGGCTTTAAGCATGTGTGCTGCGGGCCTCGTACCCCCCCCCCCCACCACCCCCCCGCCTCCTCTGAGAGAGCGACAGAGGCAAGCCAATTGGCATGGAAAACAGCCTGGATTGAAGTGATGGCTGGTGACAAGGCAGACAGACCAGCCAGGCAGGAAAAAGATGCCAGCTCACCTCCACCCTTTAATGACTCTGTCTCTCCGCCTCTTGTCTCTTTGCCATCTATCCGAGTGCAAGGTGTAAACTCGTTTTTGTGATCTGGATAAGCAGCTTTAGCTGTAAATTAACCCTGTAATGCCAAATGTATCATATCTGATACGTACGGTTTCTGAAATGTTTTGCGTCTGACTCCTTTTGCATCATTTAATGGTAAAAACTTTGCTCAAAATCCTTTTGTACACAATCAGATACACCTGATAACAGGGGGAAGAAGACCACACAAAAAATAATCTTGACTTATCGCATAGTAATAAATTATTCATATCAAAAATGTATTTTAGTTTTTTCTTTTTACATATTTTGTTAAAAGGCCAAATAAAGACTTAAAACCCCCAAAAAGTAATTTTCTGTTTTGTTTTATTCTTTGATTAGGCTTTAAAGGGTTAAGAGGAGAACTGTGAATCAGATCTGTTGCTAACCACTGGTGAGAATGATTCCTATCAGCTTTTCGACCTTCTGTTGTATTCAGAGACGATTAACCAAAAGGACCTACAGCTACTTATCACATCTCACACTTTTGTATGAGGTAACCGCTCAAATTGCTAATTGTTTGCCCACAAGGAAGGAGTTCAGATGATGAATTGTTGCTGTTTGTACAGAATTACAGCCTCTGTGGTCTGCTTTGTTTGGATGAATTGATAAGGAAGATAAAAAGGCTGTGTTCAAGGTTTTATTGGCCCCGGCTCTGTTGTACACCGGTAGAATGGAAACAGAGGGGAGCGCTGTACAGTAATAGGTTGAAAAAGAGCCATGCATACTGAGCAATCAGAGCAGAGGCAATGGCAACCAGCCATTATCTTCCCCCTCTCTTCATTCAGAGCAGCTCCAAAAGATTTGAGCAAAACATGTGAAGCGTTTTGTTATTCGGGTTGCAAACCATGAATAATCATCCGTTCTGCCAATTCCCCCAAATATGTTCTCTCAATTGTAGCAGCCTGTCACTTCTCATCCTCCACTGGAGTCGTACACGTCGCCTTAGAGGAGGCTCCAGGACGGGAATACGCTGATAGACGGACTCTGATCGGGGAGCCCTAAAAAAAAAGAGGATGTCATTTAATCGCCACGCCGCTGCTGGCAGGCGGTTAAAGACACGGATGTGTCAGAATATGAGACAAACCGAACCGAAATGGAATGAAATGAATACATTTTCATGTTTATTGCTTGTTTGTTCAAAATCAAACAAAATGCTGTAAATACCACGTTGAATCCATCTGATAAGCGTGAAGCCGGTAAAGTGGGGGCCGTCCAACCCAATACTGCAGGAAGCCAAGGATGGATGTCCAACTCCGCCCACATCCAAGTCGGCCATTTTGATTAGGTCACCAACAGGAAGATCCCAGGCAAGAAAATCCTAATTGCTTCATGGCAATATAGACATTAATTTAAAAATAGTGAAATTAATCTTGCAAACACCTAATTAAACTCTATACATAATATTATGTTAAAATAGTGGATGTTAAATAGGTTTGTACAATAAGTCCAAACAACCAAAAAATATTTATTTCTCACAATTATGAAGTTTGGAGGGTTAGGTTTAGGGTCAGGTTTAGGGTCAGGGGTCAGGATTAGGATCAGGTTTAGGGTTAGGGTCAGGGGTCAGGATTAGGATTAGGTTTAGGGTTAGGGTCAGGGGTCAGGGTTAGGGTTAGGACACCGTTTTTCTTCTGATTTCGTATAGACGGTAAAGTTTCGTTTCCACCTGAGGAAGCTGCTAGTCACATGACCTAATCAAAATGGCCGACTTGGATGTCGGAAGAGTTGGAGGTAATGCATCTCCAAGCGTGAACAGATCTGTCAGTAATTAACTCGAAAAATAGTTTGGTGTATTTTCTCCTAAATCAACAGAAATGATGGGGAAACAGCAAATGCTAAAACATAAAGTAAACTATTGAAAGTAACTGATGATGGTACCTGGATTTTTTGTCATTTGTTCTTTCCCTGTCGGCTTTCGGGCTCCATAAGGCCTTGAAATAAGCAGATGATGAATTTGCCACCCCCCATAATAAGCCGAGCTAATGGAGCGCGGTCATAAATTACTGTTAGACAGCGTTGCTAATAAAAGCGGGCCTGGCTGTGTGCTGATGCAATAACCTTGTTGACAGTCCTGTGAGCTTCCACTAGCATCACAGAGTCCGAAGGCTTGATCTGGGGACGACGTTTCACCCTCCATTACGGAGGCGGCCTGTGGCCCCTCGGTGTGGCTTCAAATTCAATATCCTTCGGAGCCACAGATCACGTCGTGTTAACTCGGATTGTGTGGGAGTGTTTGTGTAGGAACCTCTCTTTGTTTTAACCTTCAGCTGCAAACATGCCTCAGTGCATGTGGAGGAAAACAGAATCCAGGCCACAAAATCTACCTCAGTCCCGTTTTTTTTTTGTGGAAGACTTATTCTATGACTGTAGGATCTGCAAACACAGAGTATCCAGAGTTGATTGTTGTAAGATGGAATAAAAATAGCCGCCATATTTGTTTGTTGGAGTTAAGGTAAATGTTTAGATTTCATACGTTTAATTTAAACCATCTTTTAATTTCCGAGCTCTCTGTCATAAAGAGAACTTAAACATGAGTATTGAAGCATACAGATATTTTTTTCCCCCTTTTTTATTTATTTATTTATTTATTTGTTTGTTTTTATCTTTTTTTTAAGCATACAGATCTTTTTTCCCCTTTTTTTTATTTATTTGTTTAATCTTATTTTTTTCAAGCATACAGATCTTTTACCCCCTTATTTATTTATTTATTTATTTTTATCTTATTTTTTTTAAGCATACAGATCTTACTAAACCTCAAGCTGAGACAGGGTACCCTTTTTTTTGACAGTCGTGAATTATTTTAACCAATTAATTGAACCAGTGCCCATCTGATACCTGGAAATGCTCTTTGGGCCGATTTTCTAAAATCGGTTTAATTTTAACGATCGTGCTTTGCTAAATTTAAGGCTGATTAAGTCGGTGGACGACATTTCAGAGCTCAGTGGAGCGGCGGGTCGCTGTTTTCCATGTGATGAAACAGCAGTGTAACGGGCCCTTCCCGCCCCCCTTTGTGGTTTTCAGTCCAGAGTCCAGATCCAGAGGGAGCACACATCCTGGTTTTCCACCATTTTTACAGCACGTTCTCCATAAAAAAGTCTCTATAAGACCTTTATGTTAGTTTGAATCTTATCTATGGTAGTTAGTAGTTGTATTGGACTGGTGGCCAGTCCAAGATGTGCTTTGTGCACACCAATTATATGGTAATAAACTATTTAAGTGGGAGAATGTTGACTTTTAAAGTACTGTTTTATCCCTAACAATGTTATAGTATTCAGTACAATATAGATAATTACAATCATGTGCAAAATACAATAACATTGATTGGTAAAAAGTGTTATTCCAGCTACGTTTGTTGCAGCTTTCATGCAAAAGCGAATCTGAAGTGTTCCAGATTGTCATGGTTTAGTTTCCTGGATAGTTTCTGTGCTCCATCTCAGATCAGACATTAATTGCGATGTCACGGTTGGTACTTGCATGAATAAATACTTAAGTCCAATTAAGAATTCTGCCTTCACGCGGAGGAAAGCTGAGCTTGCAGATCCGTCCTGACATGCATTTAATTGTGCTCTTTGTGTTGATTTGAAATGCATGGTAGTTCCAACCGTGGACATGGAAGACAAGGGATCCTTACCTTTAGTAATGGATTAAATCCACAATCTGCACACACACATTTGTGATACCTTCTAAGGTTAATATGATCACATGCAGAACCCCATATGTTCTCATTATGGGCTATATAATATGAGAAAAATATGTAGAAAGGAGAAGAACACCATAAGAATAAATATATGGTTGATTTGATGCAGGTGCATTATTTAATTGAGCAGCTACTTTAGATTGCAGATAAACAAGTAACTCAGTTAACCTGCAGGTTTTTAATGAGGGCAGTTGGCAATTTGAACTTAATAAAATGAAACTTTTCTGTTTGAATGTGTATTAAAGCTCCAGTGATGCTGGAGGTGATCGGGGGTATGTTTTTGCTTTTGGAAAAAAAACGAACCCCATCTTTTTTTTACGTCTCCGAGTGAGGTCAAACTGCATGCTAGCGGGTGATGGCCATGTAGCAAAATGTCATAAATTATTTAGCCGCTGTTCATTGAAGCCTTTATGCCCATCAGCCCTGAAACGGTTCGCTCTCATTAAAGATTCATGGCACACGTCAGGAAACATCCTTAATCACCCCTTTGTGTCCTTTAGTTTCACTCTTCATACTCCGCATAGGACACAAACGCAATTTAAGAATTTCCCTGTATTCAATTACTGTAATGAGAATCCCATTTGGCACCTCCTTAAACTGGTTGTTAATATTACCTGCCAGCAGTGGG